AGTTGAAATGTTTAAAACAAATTTTCGGAAAAGCTGGGTAAGAGAAGAAAAAAAAATTCTACGATTTCTCTTTATTTTATTTTTTGTTTAGCTTTCTGGAAGGAATTCAAATGAAGGTAAACTGAGTGTGTATCGTTTGAAAAATGGAGGAGTGAAATTCACTCTGTTTTTCCAACTAAAACAATAAAAAAAATTAAAGCTTACATCAACTTTATTTTTGAGTGTAAACTTAACTTTAGGATGAATTACATTCAAATTTTAAAAGAAAACTATCAATACAAGCCTTTGTGTCATAAAGGGCAAATAACCAAGATACAAGGTTTTCAAGATTACAGCTGTAACCTTTATAAGCATGTAACGGATAATTCAGCTTATATGGATTTTAAGTAGACCATGAATTTGAAAGGTACAAGAATCTAATGCTGTAAAAAATTAAATAATTCATTGGAAAATTGGCGGGACTATTTTAACCATAATATGAAAGTTTTTAAAAACTGTTTTTGCCATATCTTAAATATTCTATATTTGATCATAATTACACTATAATCATATGATAAACTGAGAGCTTAGACATTCCTGTTTTAATCTTATAAACAAGCAAAATGAACAAATTTTATTCCCTATAATATCTGCTTTTGGGTTATGAAAATCTAAGAAGCATTTTGGCATGTTTAAAGAATGTCATTATTTTACAATTTCTTGTATTTTTGGTTGTGTTTCAAAAATCAAGGTTGATCAACAGAAAACTTGAAAAAGTTTTAAGGTAGGGTGAAAGTTAGGAAGGTGAAGGGAAAAAAATCATTGTAATTTTCAGAGGTAATTACTGACATTGTAACACTGACAGTTTGAGCTGTTGCAAGATTATATTTAAAGCATGCTATCTGATGATGCTGGGTAAACCTAGTGAAACGTAGTGATTTAAAAATAAGTTTTTAAACATACTTACTTTTTTATCTGTAAATCAAAAAACATTTAGTTTGACAATTTCTTCTTATTAACTGAACATATTTTATTCCACAAAACTTCAAGCTGGTTAAAAAAACATGAAAATGAAAAGGCTTTTCTTAAAAGCTCTAAATTATTTCCTAGAATTTATCATTAGTACTTTACAAATGCATGTTGAGAATCTTTAATCTTTAATTTCTGGGAAATAATCAGTTTTCATTCTCTTGCTTCACAATAAACAATGTATAAATCTAGAAATTACAATAAAAAAATAGACTATGATAATATGAGAGGCTAACAGCTTATCATTCTTTTATTAATATTCTAAATAGAAAAAGAATGAATTGCGTTTATTTCCTATAATATCTGCTCTTGGGTTATGAAATTCTAGGAGGCATTTGGCACATTTAAGGAATTTCTTTATTTTGCTATGAATAAAAAAAAGGAATGCACAATAAAAACAAAATGATTCTGATCATGAGGAAAACTTTTACTACACTATGGCATTAGCATTTAATAGTTTCTGTATTAAAAATACAGTGCTTGTCATTATAGACAAAAAAGAAAAAGAATTAGTCAACTGATGTTTCACTGTTTTCAGCTCTTAACCGTTTAGCTGGTGGTTCACCTTCTGATGTTTCTGTTGTTTCAGTTTTAATTGGAGATTTCTGCTCTGTTGTTTTTAATTTGGCTTCTTCTTTGCCTGCAAATACATAACAGAGAAGAAACAGTAAAAAAAATTCTTAATTCTTTCTTGCAATTAAAACTACATTTTATTCTACATTAGATTTCTGATACCTTATTACACTGACTTTGAAAATGCTAAACTATTTGTAAAGAAAGAATCATGCAGTCCAAAATGTCTATTATACAAATAACAGAATAATTTCATAACCAAGGTCGGATTTTCACCAACCATTAGGAACTGAAAGCTTACAAGTGATGTTGACTGACATGATGGCCATAATTTATACAAGTCCTAAAATATTATACTTAAGGAAACTTTAATTTTGTTTTAAATATATCAACATCCCATTGAAGCCTAGTGCTTCTATTAATCAAGTATATTAATGATGTAATTAACAAGCAAGTTGCATCCAACAGAGTAATGATGTCCTTACATGAAACTATGAAAGCTACACACATTTTTTACCTTTTCTTTGGACAGTTAATTTAGGAAAAACTTTCTCCGTGTTTAAACAAAGTTTCTTGGGAACATACACAGTCCAATGAGATTAACAAGTTTTTGTGTGTTTATATGGCTTTTAATCATCATCATTAAGCAGTCCCAACAATAACAGTGGACAGGTGCTCCAACAAAAAACATCACTCAAACCAGTATTTGCCTCTCTTTTTTTGCCAAAAGTTCATTGAGACCGAGATTCTGGTTTTCACTAGCATATAATCAGTTATTAAACCTTAACTTCAAATATTTAAATTACATTGTCCTTATGACTCCCAAGTCTTCTTTTATCTTACACTTGATTTTCAGTACACATATTTTCTGTTTTATTGTTTCCAAATTTTTCTTTTTATTTCATATTACAAGTCATTATATTCAATGAACATGCTAAATTGAAAAAAAAACCAAAAAAACGGACAGTTTTCTGTAGTTTTGTAGTTAGAGAATCTAATACTTCATTTAACATATGGACATTAAAATTTTTATATTTGTATTTATGGTAAAACTACCAAGGCTATCTGCTGATGTCTAATTTTGAGCTCATAGTCAGAAGGCAGGCAGCAACATCCTACACTCACTATCCGTACTAAGGGATTGTCACTCTTAAGATGCACGCACAGCTTAAAATATGGAGAATATGCTACGGAATTGAAACAGGCACACTGCCTCCAAAATCCAGAGCTCCACCACAGGGCCAACCTGTGTACACACATTACAAAGAACTAATGAGTATTACTTATAATAAAAAAAAGAGCATGATACTCAAAGATAGCCACAAATATTCCTATATACATGTCTGAAAATGGCTACACAGATCTCATGAATGGTTGGATTAATAAAATATATGGCATACCAACCAAACATAAAGCAATAAATAAATAATTTTTTTATTAAAAACAAACCTTACAGGGTTGTAATATTTGCTGGTTACAATATCATTTCAGTCAGACTTCTAAGGTTAATTTTCCTAGCTAAGATCTTTTACTTAGCTTGAAATGAGTACCAGAACCTTTCTCAAGTTCTGGGACTTGAAGCAGATTATTGCCGGTTGAAAACAAAAATACAGAGAGAGTCTGATCTTAACCCAAACTGACTTTAAATATTTCTATATAAGCATCAACCATAAATATAACTTAAATATATAAAAAGAACTATGGTAAACATTTCAGCCAGACTTTCATTGAGAACATGTCCTAGTGAAGGTCATTAATCTACTAAGACAATTGCTACTGTTAGTTAATATTCTGATACATCATTCATTAAAGCAAATCATTCAAGTATTTTTTCTCTTATTGTTTGTACTTTCTACTACTTTTGAAAAAGATACAAATTTTCCTTCTATGTCAATCGTACACTCGAAAACTGATCTTTTTTTGTGGATTTAACAATAAAATATACAATCTTGTATTAAAAATATTGATAGCTCTACTTGGATTTTTGAATTTATCAATTATGTTAATTATTTAAGTTTTGGATTATGTTGCAAAATATTATGAAGAAAACTAAGAACATGTTTTATGAATCCAGTAGCTTTATTTACTTCATGGCAAAGACATGAAACTATTAGCTCTTGATATTGTTTCGAACTCATACATACATCTCAGAAAATTACAAAGAAAACAGCTGTGTTCAAAATTTATTAATTTTTTACTAATGGATTAACTATACCTAAATTTAAAGAATATCCATTAACTTGTTCAATGGCATACATTTGACATACAAATCAACCACCTCCAAACAACATAATAAAATTAAATAAACTACACTCACCATTTCTATCCTCCTGATTAAACTGTCTTCCTCCTCTTGGTCCCCTTCCTCTTCTACCAGAACCACCACCTCTTTTTCTTCCAAAACCTCTTCTTCCTCTACTAGAACTGTTGTTTTTCTCTGTGTATCATTAAAATATATTATCTGATGTAATTTCACTACTAATAACAGATTAGTTTGTAAACTTATTCCAAGGTTTTGTATTGAACTTTCTGCAAAGCTACTCAAAGGCTATATGTGCAAGCCATCCCTAATTTAGCAGTGATAGACTAGAGGGAAGGCAGCTGGTCAACACCATCAACTCTTGGGCTCAAAAGGTGAGCTTGTTCGGTAACAGGAAGTAGAACCCATGATTTGCAGATTGCAAGTTGTACACTCTAACTACCAGGTCATGCTAGACCTATTTCAAGATTTGATATTATCTATGTGCAATATAAAATGCCAAATTTCTCCACTGTTTATGAAAATTAACTGTTACATCAATACATTAAATTCTACTAAAAAAGTCTCACCATCATATTTAAGCATCCTGGTACCTAAATCAAAAGTTACACATAAATTGAAATTATATATATATATATATATATATGAACTGCACGCAACAAATTAGATTTTACACCATAGCAGAACACAGCTTTATTAAGAAACCTATTTTGTTAAGTTGCTATTCTATTTTGATACCAAAATAACTGACCTTGTTTACCATGAACTTGTTATTTAAAATAAATTTCCTCAATGACTTGTGAAATATTAATATCTAAGCTTAACTTAAATTTATTACATTAATGTCTTTGTCTTGAAAACATTTTTGCTTTTGCTCATGCAAAGGAAACCTGAACAGGCAAATTAGGAACCCAATTAAAACTTTCAGATGTACAAAAATTTTAACACATTGAACTTTTTTTGTTTTATTTGGTATACTAATTATTATTTGTGTAATAGGTTACAATTTAGTATTTCAAACAAAAGCTTATAAGAAAAACATACGTATGTTCTTTTTCCACGCAGCTCTGGTCTTTGCAAATCTCTTCCAGTACTGCTGTTCTTCCTCCCCTAGGGCATAAAAAAAAACCACAGTACACTGTAGATGAGTTTTATTATTAAATCATTTTTGTAATTGTACATTGCTATAAACTTCATGAAATTAAAATTGGCTATGTCCACCCAACTAGCTAAATTTTATGGAATATTTCCTTCAAATCCTTATGTCCGTATCCAAAATATTACAGTGTTTATGTTGTTTCCTGTACTTTTATGCTAACTTGCATGACAACTCACTAAATGGTAATATTTTAGTTTCATTTATTAATATTTGTAAGTTTTACCAACTGGGCTGTCATAAAATAAAATGATTCAGGAATTTGTTTTTGTGACACATTTAGTTCAAAACTATTATGGCTAGTGGAATATTCAAACAGCCTGTCAGATGTGTTTCCTATTCAGAATGTTTCATACAGGTAAAAAATAAAAAAAAACTACACAAAATATCATAATTCTGATTATATACAAATTCTTTTGGTACTTCTAAGCATAGCAATGTTCTTGTTTTGTTTTTTTTATATTCCTC